AGGAATAATACCACAGGGTCAAAAATATGATCATGAGAGATGGTGACTTGCTGCTCATCAGTTCACTTAGGGAATCATTCATTGCCTAACTCCAGTGTTTATTATTCCCCTACAAGGTCAGGTGCCTGGGTGCCAGTTGTAAGCAAAACAGGTAAAATCCCTGACCATAAGACTCACACTTTAATGATGACTAAATATATCATGTGATCTGGCAATTCCATATACACCACAGTTCAGTATAGCACCCTTACCCAATCAGGGTCTTGCTGGCTCAAAGGGGTAGTTTGGATCCATCCTGGAGAAGAGCTTTCACTATGCTGATTGAGTGGCTGACCTGGGCCAATGGCTGGGATACAGGTCCAAGGCCAGGAGAGGGCTCTGTGAAGGTTTTTTTTTAAGAGTTCCTCTTCTAGTGGAGAAGAGACAAAAAACAAATTGAAATTAGGCAACTACAAAGATTTTTGATGGTATAGAGATGTTCATTGAAGTGTTAATAACCATTTAATACTAAACTATTGGAAACAACCTCTATCTAAGGGTGGGGCCTTAGGTAATTTATAACTGCATGATGCACTATTATACAGTCATCAAATGGGTAAATTAAGGCATGAAAAAAATCCAGTCATCTACTGTTAGGAGCTATCATGTTGGTTCTGAGTCAGTGACCCTAATAAACAGAATCAAACATTGCTTGGTCTGGTGCCAGCCTCACAATCATTGCTATATTTGGGCCCACTGTTGCAGGCAGTGTCCGTTCATCTCACTGAGGGTCTTCCTATTTTTTACTGACCCTCTACCAACCATGATGCCCTCCTGGGGAACTAGGCCCTCCTTCATGACATGTCCAAGGGACATGATGTTAAGTCTCCCTATCCTCGCTTCTTAGCCTTCTGGGTTTACTGCTTCTAAGAAAGATTTGTTTGTTCTGGCATTCCAAAGTATATTTCATTTTCTTCACCAACACCATCATTAAAAGACATGAATTCTTCAGTCTTCCTTGCTCAGTTTTGGCATGCATATGAGGCAATGGCAAATATCGTGGCTTAGGTCAGAAGCAATCATATGATAAAAAGGTTAAAATTTAAATTGTGTATATACTTTGTTGTTATTTGCCCTTGTGTTGCTTCCAACTCATAGGGACCATGTATGTGGTTTCTGAGGAGTGGCAGGTAGCTTTGAACCCCCAACCTTGAAATTAGTAGTCCAGCTTATCCTATAGCACCACACCAGAATTTACTGCGTGTTGTCAAATGATAAATTCCTTCTATGTTTCTTAGTTGGAATTCAACCTGAGGCAATTTTAATATTATTGGCTTGCTCTCTCATCTACCATGTTGCTAGAGCGTGTAACTGAAAGCATGTTGGATTCAGCAGTAAAACACCTGTGTTATTGATGCATATGGACAAAGACAAGAACCCAAAAGAGAAAGGAAATGTTGGCGTGTGTGTGTGTGTGTGTGTGTGTGTGTGTGGTGTGTGGTGTGTGTGTGTGTGTTGATTGGAATGGTGGAATTGTTAGGTGCTATTTAGTCGTTTTGGATTCATGGGGATCCCATAGTGGAATAATTGGGATTTAAGGATTTTGTTTTCTTATAAGTTGTCGTTCTTAATAATTTGTTAAGTGCCGTGGAGTCTATTCCGACTCAGAGAGCCCCTGTACAGGGTTTCCAAGGAGCGGCTGAACTACCAACCTAGCAGTTAGCTGTCTAGCCACATCAGGACTCCTCAGCGGTAGCAACTGTCATGTTTCACTGGGCTTTCGTTTGTATGTTGGTAAATGTCAACGAGTAGGTTCTGAGTTGGAAATCCTGTATAGGGTTTCCGAGGAATTACTGGTGGGTTTGAACTGACAACTTTGAGATTAGCAGTCCAGTGCTTATCCTACGCGACGTGATAGGTAAAAACAAAACTAGTGTAAATCAAGGCAGATTCGTGAGGGAAAAGAGTTACTTTGAAGAACTTAACGGATTTTAAGGTACAACTAGCCGGCACCAAGGAAGACGCGGGAGATTTGCCAGCGCGGAGAGAGAGCGGGGAAAGAGGGTTGACGGGACGTGGCGCAGACTGGTGATCCTAGCGCCAGGCGGATCTGACGTCACGGGCGCGCGCCTCCGCCTCCGGTCCACGTGAGTGACGTCTCTGTGCCTGCGGTAGAGTCCGACCGATGTTGTGGCGGTGGTCCTGTAAGACCCCTCTTGTCTGCCTCCTGCCTCCGGGACCATGGCTACCTACTCGTGGGCTTTGGCGGTTGACGACCAGGAAGCAGCCGTCAAATCGGTCAGTAGTTTTGGTTCAAAGGAGCAAGAACGTAGTAAGTAAGGGTACAATTGGAGCCTTAGTTTCTAACTTAGAGTGAGGGAACTCCCCAGGTTGAACAGGTCTGTGGCCACTAGGTCTGGTTTGTTGCCTAGGGAATAATTTAACCCTAAATGAGCCCTGCTGTATAGCTGCAGGATAATGCGCAGGACCGCAAAGTCGGTTTGAATCTCAAGGTAGGTGGTTCAAACTCACCAGCCGCTCCTCGGAAACCGTATACGGGGTCTCTCTCTATGAGTCGGCACCGACTTGAGGGCACTAACAACAAAGGAGCTCTGGTAGCGTTGTAGATTAGGAGCCAGGCTGCTGACATCAGGGTTAGCAATTCGAATCTCCCAGTCTCTCCGCAGGAGACTGATGAGATTTACTGCTCCCATAAAGATTTACAGACTTGGGAATTGTATGCAGGGTTAATATGAATCGGAACCGACTCGACACAACCACCACCAATAACTTGGTTCTAGGGCTAACTAGACCAATATTGAGGTTTTGGTCATCATGGTTCAGTTAACGACTTTTGTTGTTTTCAGGTGCCATCTCCTCTAATGACCACATGTTAAAAGAGTAGATCTGCCCTATAGAATTTTCCTGCCTGTGATTTTTATGGGAACGCATGGCCATGTATGCTCCTCTTCCCCAACCCCCACCCCCTCGGACCACCAACCTTTAGGTTAACAATCCAGCACAACTAAGTAGTATTGCGTTTCCTATATTTCACCTGTTTCTCTGGAGATTATAAGTGCAAAATCAAATTTAGTTGGTTCTCTTTTTAATTAGGATAACAGGTTTACAGGTTCAGCTTTAATATCCCAGCATACAGCAAATCTAAAATTGAACATTTAAATTTGTTTCGTGACATTGGATTGTTAGTATTGAGACTATAGACTATTTACGAAACTTTTCTTGTAGTCTGAAGTCTTCTAGAACTTTTTAATGCCAGCATTCATTTCTTCTCCAATCCCTCCTTTGTTGCTCCGGGAGTAATGTCAGTTATCAGCAGATTTATAAAATGGGCCAAGTCCAGGGGAGCCTAGGAAGATGCTTTCTAGTCTATTTAGAAAATGATGCAGTGAAAGGCTACAGTGTAAAAGAAGTAAGTCTGATAAGTATGCTCTGAAAAGGGGAAGGAGATTTATAAGTAGGAAAACCTGGGAAATTTCTTGGGAAATTTACATTTAAAAGCATACATTTGAGATAGATCATAGAGAATGAATCCCAGCTAGGCTAGATAGAGATAGCAGTAAAGACACTTTAGGAGATAGTATTCCAAAGTGCTGAACTTGAGTACAGAATGAGAATCAGAAGTAGTTTTGACTATAACTTCACTCGTCTGTGGTCCGTGTGGGGCATATATTACCCTCCCACTTAGTCAGTGTCCCAGGCTTCTTGGGAACATCCTATCCCAGTTGTAGTATGTGCTATTGCCTGGTTGGGGACCTGTATAACTACATGACTCTGCAGAAACAGGGTTCATTCCATCCATCCTACCACAAGAGTCCCCTTGGGACATTGTGTCCCACATAATTACAAGAAAATTTGTACTGCATAATTTTTTTTCCCCCTAGAGTTTAGCATGCCTTTCATTACTGAAAACACATAGTAGCAACAAAAAATTCAAAGAAAATAGTTTGGTCATGAAAGGATTAAGGTTAGGTTGGGGTGGGCAGTATAGAAAATATGGAAGGGAGTACACTTTAAATTTTGACTCAAAACTTGAGAAGGAGCTTCATATTGTAGGTTTGTAGCCTAGGACTTCATTTGAATATTCCTCAGACCCTGATAGCATTCTTTTATAATGTACGGTAATGTCGACCATTCTCTTACCAACACTGACAAGATAAAAGTAGTTCAGAAGACAGTGGAGAGTTATTTGCAAGTTTAGGAATTATTGCTCTACTTGAAACTTAGCAAGTTTTTAATGACTAGGACTACATGGCCAAGAGTGAAAAAGAAACCATTTTGTGTAACTTCTGCAAGATTTTCAAATCAGGAACTTGGGTTTTGCCAATACTTTAATATAAAATAAGTTTCTCTATAATATGTCATTTAAGGTGTTGATAAGGCAAAGAGGATTGTAATTTATTTGCAAAGTATTGCACTAATTTAGTGTGTGTTTTAAGGTGGTTTTTTTTTTTTAAAAAAAAACAACCTCTTCTGAGAAATTTGTTTTTAAGCACCGCTGAGTTGGTTCTGACTCATAGTGACCCTGTATAGGGTTTATAAGGAGCAGCTGGTAAGTTTGAAATGATGACCTTGCAGTTAGCAGTCTAGTACTGATCCTACACAACCTCACCAGGATTCCCTGAGATATTTAGATGTTGTCATTCTTTACTCAGAAAGCAGTGTTTGTGACATTGAAACTGTCTAGATATTTAATAAAGGTTAGATGTTCTAGGAAGAGCGTGAATTGGGGGAAAAGCAGAGGTGTGAGATTGTTGATATGCTGTTTCTCCTTCCCTTTATTTTTAGCTTTAATTTTAGCTTTAAAGAGTCTGTTTACTCTGTTGAAAACATGTGAAATGTTTTTACCCAAGCTCTTGCAATTTTGCATCAAGCAGAACAAACTGAGCCCCTGAGTATGAGTGTTGAAGTGGTTCCTACTGTTACTGGAGGCCTTCTCTCTGTTCCCTCCTTTCACTGTATCATTTGCCTAACTCTACTTGCTTCCTTTCATTCCCATTCAGATGAGCAGCTTGGAGATCAAGGAAGAAAAAGTCAAGGCAGATACCAACGGTGAGTCCATAATAATCACAAGTTAGTCACAAGCTACACCTGTGCTGCTGCCATGCGCTCGTGGCTGTAACGTCCTCTGCCCATTTTTAAATTGGACTATTTGTGTCTTGTTGAGGCTTTAAAGTCTTCTTACAGACAGATGTCATGTATCTGCTGACTTCTTAACTCCAGCTGTCACTACAGGACTCTTGGTCACTGGAGATTACCATTTTATTTTTGTTCCCTTTTTAAAAAAGATAATCTGGTTTCAAAATTCAAATATAAAAAGATGAAAGGCATTCATTCTTACCATTCTGGTCCCCCATTTATCCAGTTCCCATTCAAGTTTCTTTATGCAATACAAATGCAAAATATGGAGGGCTCAAAGTTTGTGGGAAAATTCCATGATCTTTTTTTTTTTTTTAACTTTTTGTTGTGAATTGAGTGAAGGTTTACAGTGCAGCTCATCTGTTTTACATTCAGCAAATCTATTACAATGCTTACAACCCCCTCTATGTACCATCAGTAAATAGTATTTATCTGTTTCCTTTAACTCATGCACTCCTCCCTGTGTCTCCTGCTACCTACATCTTTCCTCTGCCAACCTCCCTCTTATTATATGTTGCCTGCTCTGTCACCCATGTTAACATATGTCTACCCTCTAGCCCATGAATAATTATCCCCATCCCTGGTAGTCATCAAATTGTTGTTGCTGAGTGCTGTCATAGCAACCCTGTATAGGGTTTCTGAGGAGCAGCTGGTGGGTTTGAACTGCCTATCTTGTGGTTTACAATCTAGTGCTAATCCTAAAGCACACCAGGAATCCAGTAACCATCATAGAATATTTCTTTTATCAAGAAAACTTTTTCTTAGCTTTTCGTAATAATGGTCTCATATAATATTTGTACTTTCCTGATTGACAAATTTCACTCAGCCTTATGTCCTCCAGGGTCATCAATGTGTTATGAGGTATTTTGCAGATTTATCATTATTCTTCAGTGTTGTTTAATATTCCACTGTGTGTATGTACCACTTTGTTTAACCATTCTTCTCTTCATGGGCATTTAGTCTGTCCCTTATCTCTTTGCTGTTGTGACTAGTGTTGCAGTGAACACGGATGTACATTTATCTAGTTGTGTCACAGCTCTGATTTCTTGTGGATATATACCAAGTTGAGGGATTGCTGGGTCATACAGGACATATTCTATTGCCAAGTTTTTGAGAACGCACATAACAGTTTTCCACTGTGGCTGCACCATTGTACAGACCCACCAGCAGTGGGACTCTCACCACACCCTCACCAGCATTTTCTGTTTTCTCTTTTTTTGAACTTTGCTATTAATGCTGATGTCCGATGAATCTTGGCTGAGAGCAGAGAATATCAGAAAGATCCTTTATTGATTACGCAAAGGCTTTTGATTGTGTGGATCATAACAAGCTATGGACAACATTGCAAAGTATGAGTTTTCCGAAACACTTAATTGTGTTCATGAGGAGTCTGTACATGGACCAAGAGGCACTTACCCGAACAGAACATGGGAACACTGAATGATTTAAAATTAAGAAAGGTGTGTGACAGGGTTGCATTCTCTCACCATATTTATTCAACCTGTATGCTGAGCAAATAAGCCAAGAAGCTGGGTTATGTGAAGAAAAATGTGGCATCAGAATTGGAGGAAGACTCATTAACAACCTGCGACATGCAGATGATACAACCTTGCTGAAAGGGTAGAAGACTTACATATTTACTGATGAAGATCAAAGAGCGCAGCCTTCAGTATGGATTATATCTCAATGTAAGGAAAACAAAAACACTCACTACTGTACCAATACACAACATTCTTATCAATGGAGAAAAGATTGAAGTTGTCTAGGACTTCATTCTTCTTGGATCAACTATCAACACTCATGGAAACAGCAGTCAAGAAATCAAACGACGTATTGCATTAGGCAAATCTGCACAAGACCTTTGAAAGTGTTGAAGAGCAAGTCAGCTTGAGGACTAAGGTGCACCTGATCCAATCCATGGTATTTTCAATAACTTCAAATGCATGCGAAAGCTGGGCAGTGAATAAGGAAGATCATAGAAGAATTGATGCATTTGAGTTATGGTGTAGTAGAAGAATATTGAAAGTGCCATTGGCTGCCAAATGAACCAACAGATCTGTGTTGGAAGTACAGCAGGAATGACCCTTGGAGACTCTTGGGCCCAGAGTCAGTGCTGTGGCCACGGAGGGCTTGAGAGGAGAGTGGAGCTACCGGCTGACGGGAAGAGAGGACATAGGCACAGGAGCGCCCACACTTGCAGATGATACCCACGTGACCTGGACCGGATGACTGGATGATCGGAGCTCAACCAGGAGAGGACAGAAGAGGGGGAAAAAAAGAGTGAGCTGATACAGTCTGATGAACTTGACCTGTACCTATGGAGCAGCGACTCAGAGGGAACAAATCCTTGCAGCAAGAAACATTCACACACACCCCCACACACAGAGTGGACAGAGAAGGGCAGCTTGGACATTGGATACTCAAATGGGGAGGAGGATAGGAGCGGAAGCCTCTGGGACCATCAACGGAGAAGAGCCGAGAGCGGGATCCTACCCAGAGAAACAGATGCCTAAGATGGAGACAGAGATGATGACATGGAGTGATGAAGCGACTGGGGACTTTGGACCCAGAGAGGGAAAGGGACTGTGGGCCAAAAACTGGGGGGAGGAGGGGAAGTGTAGGGGGCGGGTTTCTGGGATATACCCTTTGGGTGGTCGATGATGCATGGAGGGGATTGGAACCATGGCAGTGAGATGATACACGATGGAATGAATGTAAAACTAAAGTTCTCCCATGTAAACGATCATATAATTTTCAGTAAAAAACTAAAAAAAAAAAAGTGCCCCTTGGAGGCCAGGATGGCCAAACTTCATCTCTCATACTTCAGACATATTGTCAGAAGGGACCAGTTGCTGAGAAGAATATCATGTTTGGTAAGGTGGAGGGTCAGAGAAAAAGAGGAAGACCCCCAGTAAGATGGATTGGCAAAATGGAGGCCATCAATAGGCTCAAGCGTGGCAACAATAGTGAGATTGGCCCAGGATCGGGCAGTGTTTCATTCTGCTGTGCATAAGGTCACTATGAGTTGGTACTGACTCAATGGCACCTGACAACAGCAACATTAATACTAGAGTAAGATGAGATCTCATTGCTGTTTGACTTGCATCTCTAATAGTTACTGTTGGTGAGCAGTTTTTCATATGTTTGTTGGTCCCCTGAATGTCATCTTTGGTGAAGTATGTGTTCATATCCTTTGCCCATTTTTTAATTGTATTATTTGTCTTATTTTTGAGGCATTATTCTATAAATTTTGGAAAGCAGTGCTTTTTGTTTTGTTTTGTTTTTAATGTTTTATTGTGAATTACATGAAAGTTTACATGGGAGAACATTACCTTTACGTTCATCCTATCGTATATAATTTCATTGCCATGGTTACAGTCCCCTCCATGCATCATCAACCTACCAAAGGTTATACTCTGCAAGCCTGCCCCCCGGTTGTCAGCACACAGCTCCTCTCCCTCTCTGGGTCTAGAGTCCCCAGCCATTCCATCTCTCCATGTCATCATCTCTGCCTCCATCTCTGACATCACTGTTTCTCTGGGTAGGGTCCCACTCTTCTCCCTTGATGGTTCCAGGGACCTCTGCTTCTAAACTGCAAAGTCAATCACTCCCCTCCTTTTTCTACAAAACGTCTACCTTTATATTTCCAACCCTCACAATCAGTCCTGATAACAATTATTCACTATTGTATCACAAGAGACCTATCCACATCTCCTTTTGTCAGCCCTGCCCAGACAGATTGGACTACTCAGTGGAGATTCTACCTTACTCCATGCCCTCTGGATCTGGAATCCCGCTTGAAAGCTTGTAAACCAATCACTTCTTGCCTTTGTAGCCCCCCTCCCCCATTTTGGGTAGCCAGTGTCCAAGTTGCCCATCCCTGTCTACTCTGTGTATGGAAATGGGTGGGAATGATCCTTGCTGTAAAAATTTGTTCCCTCTTTTGAGCAAATGCATCCATAGGTGTAGGTCAAGTTCATCAAATTGTATCAGATTACTCTTTTTTTCACTCTTCTATCTTCTTCTGGTTGAGCTCCGATCCATCCAGTCATTAAAGCCAGGTCAAGTGAGTATTATCTGCAAGTGTGGGTGTTCTTATGAATATGCCCTCTCTTCTTTCTTCTTATCAGCTGGATGCTTCACTCTCCACTCTAGTCCTCTGTGGCTATGTCACTGACTCTGGGCCCAAGAGTTCTCAGGTCTTGGCACACTGCTGGCCAACCAGGTCTCCACCCGGCTTCACAGGAGTCTATTGAACGTTGTAGGGCGTAGCTGGCAGCTTCATTACTGTTCTTCCCTCACTTCCCCTTATCGGTGATGAATGTGGTCACCAATCAGAGCTTGTATTCCCATTTGAGTCTTTGTCTTGGAAGGGGGTTTGCCCTGAGGGGACCCAACCACTTGCCTTGATGTCTCCTGGGCGAGCAACTTGCTTGTTCTTGTAGTAATCAGTCGGACTGCCGTTTTTATTTCTTATTTTTCCTGTAGGTTTTTCTTTCAAGAAGTATCTTCTGTTCTTCTAGCTGCTCTAGGCTGGTCTGCTTGTCCTTTCAAGTAGAAATTTCCCACCTCAGAGGATTCTGGATGGGGTGCAGGATTCCACCTATGGTCTTATGTAATGCAGAGGCTCTGCAGGAAGCCTCCTTCACTGGGAAAGTTTTAGCCCCATTTTAGGTATTCCAATCAGTTATAGGCAGAAGATGGGCTTACAAGCTTTCTATAGTGATATTTCTGGCTATTCCTTTCTCTCCCCGTCAAGTGTCTATTTTATAATGGTATGCAAGGGAAACCAATATCAAAAGACAGCCAAGCATCATAACGTTTCCCCGTTTTACCCCATTCCAACCATGTCTCAATCCCAGTATCCCAGAGCCCTGTTGTTCTAAGGTTGTGCATACATCATTATTTACCTCTGTCCCACTTAGCTTTAGGCAAACCTGCTCATTGTTTTCCCATAAGCTTGGTTCTTCCATTCCCCTCCCCTTTCTTGTGTATTGTCCCCCTCCCTAGCACCCAAACTATCCTGTGTCTGTTCCCTGCCCTGTGCTTCACCTTCCTCTCCCTCCCCTCAGCCCACCCCCACGTCCCGGTAACCAGCAAAGAATCTACCCCCCTTTAGTATGCGTTCTTTATCTTAGTCTTTTACAATAGTAGTCCTGTGCAGTATTTCTCCTTCTGTGACTGATTAATTTCACTCAAAATAATGTCCTCAAGGTTCATCCATGTTATGCGGTGGCTTGCAGCTTCCTTGTTATTCTTCCAAGGTAGCATAATATTCCATTGTGTGTATGTACCACAGTTTGTTTATCCATTCATCAGTTGATGGGCTCTTTGGTTGTCTCCATCATTTTGCTATTGTAAATAGTGCTGCTGTGAACATTGGTGTGCATATATCTACTCATGTTATGACTCGTATTTCTTGTGTGGAAAGTAGTGCTTTGTCTGATACGTTGCAGCCAAATATTTTTCCCCTTTTGATGAAATCCCCTTTGTATCTAATTTTTTAGGAAATCCCAGTCATCTATTTTGTCTTCTGTTTGTGGATTTTCAGTTATGTTTCATAGTATAGTTATACCATGTATGAGAGCCCTAAGTTTGTCCTTATGTTTTCACTGATGATCTGTAGTTCTAGGCTTTAAATTTAAATTTAGGTCTTTAATCCACATTGAGTGCACTTTTGTATATGGTGTGAGAGAGTTTTGCTTCATTTTTCTGCAAATAGATTTCCACTGTTGCCAGCAGTGTTTGTTGAAGGGACAGCTGGTGTGGTGATACAGGATAAGCACTCGACTGTGAACCACAGGCTCAGCAGTTGAAACCCACCAGCTGCTTCTCAGAAATCCTACACAGGGTTGCTGAGTCAGAATCGACTCTATGGCACGGCACGTGATAACAATTTGTTGAATAGACTGTTTCTTCCCCGTTTAATACATTTTGACTCTTTGTTAAAGGTAAACTGTTATTTGTCATCTAGTCAGTTCTAATTTATAGCGACCTTATACAGCATTTCCAAAGAATTGCTGGTGGGTTTGAACCACCAACCTCTGGTTAGCAGTCCAGTGCTTATCTTATAGCACCATACCGTATAATACAGTATATGCATGTTGTTGTTGAGTGCCATCAAGTTGATTCTGACTCATAGCAACCCTGTATAGAGTTTCCAAGTAGCAACTGATGGGTTTGAACTGCCAACCTTATAGTCCACAGTCCAGTGCTTATCCTGAAGTGCCACAACAGGCTTCACTGTGAAACTGACCAAATTTAAGTGTTCCTTATACATTTGAGATTTTTCTAGAAATAAAAGACCACTAAATATAGAGAAATAACATGAAGTTTTTATATTCAAATAAGTGTTATTATATTTTTTTATCCTTTGGGTGGGCTTGGTATTTGCCTTCGTAATTATGACAACTATTTTTTACGTAGGTGTTCTGATAAACAGTGCTACTCCAGAGAAAACAGATGAAGAAGAGAAAGGTAACTACAAGTGTACGACACAGAATTTGGGTTCCTGGACTCAAAATCAGATCAACAAGGAGACTCCCGGAGGAGGTTGAGAAAAGGAAATCAGAGGAGTAAAAGGACCACCAAACAAGTGCGTTATCCAAGACGCCAGACGACGGCTGTATTTCCAAATTTGAGGGGATCAAATATAGATCATACATTAAGACAAAATTGAAAAATTAGTCATTGGATCGATTAGGCCGTTTGGAAGTCATTAGTGAGTTGAAGTGGGGTGGAGAGGTGTTTGGTTGTTTGTTTTTTTAAAGCCTCAGTGTTTATTCAGAGAGAAAGGGAAGGGAAGAAGTGGAAGACATTAAGAATATACAACCCTTTTGAAAAATGTTTTCATAAGAAAGTTGGAACCGTAATTGGATAGGGTGTGGAGTAAAGGAAGAAGCAGATTCATGATGAAGAAGAAGAGGGAAATTTCTGCAAGAGAGAATGTCACTGGTGGGAGGGACACCACCTGTGCACCTATAGTCTAGGGGAAGGTGGAGAACATGGACATAAATGCAGGTTGGCTGGTATGGGTATGGACGTGTATGAAATTGCTCTATGTCTTACTTGGAAACAGATCACTGAGGAGACCATTGAAGGCATTAATGAACATTGAGGAAAAGGAGAGTAAATGAATGGACTGTGGCAGTAGAAAGGCCGGGAAGCTTAGAGCCCGTTCTGGGTCCGTTGTTCTTAAGAGCTGACTAGTTGATTTTGATTCACAGTAACCCTATATGGGGTTTCCAGGAAGCAGCTGGTGGGTTTGAACTGCTGACAGTTATGAGTCTGTTGTTGAGTTCTGTCAGGTCAGTTCCAACTCATAGCAACCCTATATAGGGTTTCTGAGGAGCAGCTGGTGGGTTTGAATCGCTGAACTTGTGATTCAACTGACTTTGTGGTCCATGTGTATCCTACAGCGAGGCCTGTCAGTGTGGTTGTGGTTTCCTCTAGCCCTGCTTGGCTGTCTAGGTGCTGGTTTTGTGAGGGAGCAATCTCATAAGGGGGGCATTGGCCACATGAGTATGAAGCAGGACTTTGAAGCAGACCTGAATTTTTAAACCGGGGGTGTACTGGAACAGTAACCGAAATGGGAACATTTTTGTCGACGTCCCAGGATAGGGCACTGGTGGAGGGCTTTCAAGAGCCTGAGACTGGAGACTGGATTATTGCTAGGACTTTGGAGACTGACACATATAAAACTACAAGGTCAGTTGCACCATCTTTGAGTGGGCCACCGTGTTAAGAGATTTGGTTGCTATGGAACAAACATGCTACCTTGTTTTTTAAGAGGGCGATTATATTTCTAGTAGGGTGTTGACCTGTACATTTTCCCATTCTGGTACACTCACACTTTACAAGTTCCGGTCCATTCTGGTTTGTCTTTGTCAGCCATGACTGATTCAGGAAAAACCCATTTATAAACAAAATCTGCTTTCTTCCTGCCAGAGGACAAAGCTGCCCAGCCCTCACTCAACAAGCTGATCAGAAGCAATCTGGTGGATACCACAAACCAGGTGGAAATCCTGCAGCGGGATCCAGATTCTCTCCTCTACTTTGTGAAGTCTTTCGAAGAGCTCCGGCTGTGAGTACTTGATTCCTTTAACATCTATTCTCTGCCTGGCCCGCCCTTATAGAATTTAACATCTTGAAGATGGGACTATTAATTTTTATTTTTAACAACTTTAAAGTAGTTGTTTATTTTAATAGATAATCAAATTATTCACAGCAATAAAACATGAAAGCATTCAGTGATGGCTTCCTTCCCACCCTTGTCTCTTGGCTATCTACTTCACCTCCTCTTAGTAGGGATTTTTAAATGCCACAAATGTATTCATTATAGCTAAAAGTCTTTTTTTCTTTAATGCTCTTAGAACTTTCAATAAAATATTGTCTGACAGGTGGTTGCTGGATGTCAGGAACATTTATTAGGTAAGCCCTTTTGTTGGATTCTAGGATCTATAGTCTTAATAACAGCTTTATCTGCTTGTATAAAATCTGTCTTCCCAGCACTCACAATGGAAAGCTGCCTTGGACAGTTCTGGAATTAGTTTTTAAAATGACAACAAAACAGAACCTAGAGTTGAGTGTATGTGTTTAGTTGGGTTTATGTATGTGTATCTGGAATTGTGCTAAGAATGACTTCTAAGATGTCATTATTTTAAAGGCAGAGAGTGGAGCTATTAAATATTGTACTTAAAAAGGGCATACCAAGTTTTAAAATTTTTGTTCCTTTCTGTAAGTTAGTAGGGAAGTGCTTTATGGATTATTGACTTAGTCACATACATCTCTGGCAGAATGCAGCTCATAAATAGGAAGTGCCATCAAGTCAGGTTCCGATCCATAGCAACCTGTGTAGGGTTTCTGAGCGGCTGATGAGCTTGAACCACTGATCTTACAGTTCAATTCAACGTTGCAGTCCAGTCCGTGAACTCACAGTGCCACACCAGGACTCCAAATAGACGTTGGGGTGAATATGACATGGTAGAATAAGTGGATTCTTCAGCAAACACCTATAATGGAGCTTCTGGGGTAAATAGGGGCCACATTTCTGCCAGCTGTGACCACTGCTTTACAATAAGAGTCATTTAGAAAAAGAGAACAAACTAGAATGAAGCAACCAGTATCTTTTTATTCATTTTCAGTTTCAGGAAATTTTCTTTTTCTTGTGTTAGCAGCTTTATTCAACAAATCTGGCACCTCTGCTTTAATTCTGTTCACAAATTATATGGGGGACGTTATAGACAGTGGTCTGTTGTTTCCTGAGACCTGACTGACTGCTTTTCCAAGTGTCATTGGTTTAGGTATTTTCTAAGTTCCTTTCATTTAAAAGACGTGAGCTCTCATTTCAACCAGGTGAACTGACCTTTTTAAAATATAAGTTCTCTCTGATTAGTTGTCCGTAGCCACAGGAAACACAGAACAAAAAGAAAACTGGAGCTTGGTAGGTGCTGGGCCCACACTTTGGTAGTGATTCTGTGCCCTTGACAGTGAATCAGAAGCTGCCTTTGCTTCCAAACAGGAAACTAGAGGGTATGTCTTCTAAGTTTTTTTGTGTCTGAGAACCAACACATGCCAGGAACCATTTTGTCTTCTAGAGAGCTTGTTAAATGCGAATGAATTTCTAAGTCTTGACCTGATTTAACTTATCTTTAGAAACAGTCTTGTGGTTTTTGTTCACCTGTCAATTTAGAGGCAGCAGATAGTAAATGCACCTTTGCATCAGAGCAACGAAATTGACATTCATTACAGAACAATTTATGTTAAAAGTGAATGCTTTATTCCTCATGATTTTGGCTCTGCAGAGTAACTGACTTGGAACATTTGTGAATTCAGTGTGATAACTGAATTACCCTTTTCTATTTAGTGTTGCTCCACTTCTAGAAACTGGCTTAATCCTTGCTTATTTGTTGTCCCAGTTATGTGCACAGCTGATTTGGACAGACAGTGGGACACAAAAAGATTATAGTTCAATTGAACATCTGCATGGAGGAATTAAAATCCTAACCCTGATCTATAAAGGGATTCTTACATCGTAGTGGCATAGTAAGGTGTGTTTGTTTTTAGATGTTTATAATAATTTATTTCATACTATGAATTAATAAGTACCACTCTTCCCGGAAAACACTTGTTATCCAAGGCTAGCCGGATATGTGGGATGCCAAAAGCACGAATTTCTTTAAGAAAGGAAAGTATTCTCTATTTTTATGATTTATATATGTTACAGATTGAGATGTACTCAGGAAAGATTGTGGTTTGACTTTAGATGTTTTTTAAAGCATAGAAACTAGGAATCCATCCTCTCTCGTTGGCCTCCTAGGATACCACAGCTTCTCCAGGGTGTCTGTGCCATGGGCTTCAATCAACCTTCCAAGATACAAGAGAGCGCATTACCCATGATGCTTGCTGAACCGTGAGTGTGCAGAAATGAGTGCTCCTTGTGACGTTTAACATCTTCCACAGAGTAGCTCATTTGGACACATGTTTCTCTTGGGAAACACCTTGGTCATTAATTTGAAATTTTTGATGCCTGTAAAAGGTGTGTACAGTACCACGAAGATATCTGCACCCTTGTCCAGCCATGCATCTACTCTGCAATGCTACTCTGCTCTTGTCCCTGCTCTCACTTCAGAAGCAACTGCATCAAGTCCAGTCATATTTCCTTTTGTTTTTACAACTTATATGATTTAGCAGCTTTTTCCACACAGCTTTATTACTGTTAATACTTCAAATGGCAAAAATACCACCCAGTGATACTGGGTTTCATGAAGTGAAATGTCACAGTTTCCTCTAAAACATCTGTCTGGAAAAATTTGAAAACTGTTAATGGTGGTGGTTGGGCACAAATAATGTTGCTCAGCTCTACATGTGAAGCATATTGAAACAGCAGAAGGTACCTGGTCCCCAAAATGATTACTGCTCAGCAGAAAATGTCACTGGAAACTGGTTTAGGCACAGACCTTCCCCTCAGTCCTGATCCTAACTTGGGCACATCCTGCTAGCATCTAGAATGAAGGTTTCCTGGTATGAACCCATCTAAAAGTCATTGCCCTTAATATTTAAGCAAGTTTTCAAAACTATATTTTTCAAATTATCTAAGTAATTTATGCTCATTGCAAAAAGTCTACTTAATGTGTTATTGTTGTTAGATGCCATTGAGTCTGTCTCAACTCATAGTGACCCATCCTCAACAGGATGAAACACTGCCCCGTCCTGCATCCTCTTCACAGTTGGTATGTCTACACCCATTGTTGTAGACACTGTGCCAATCCTTCTTAATGAGAATCTTCTTTTGTGCTGACCCTCTAGTTTACCAAGCATGATGCTTTTTCCAGGAACTCGTCCCTCCTGATAACATGTCCAAAGTATATGAGATGAACTCTCACTACCTTGCTTCTATGCAGCATTTTTGCTTCTCTTCCAGGACACTCAAATGTTTGAGTGTTCCACCTTTTGATTACTGTGAATAGTGTTATACAAGTACCTGTTCTCTGTTTCTGTTTCCAGTTCTTTGGGGTATATACCTAGACGTGGAATTGCTTGGAGTGGTATTTGTTTTAACCAATGTTCATTTCTTTTCTTCCATGACCCAGTCCACAGAAACTGATTGCCCAGTCTCAGTCTGGTACTGGTAAAACGGCTGCCTTTTTCTTGGCCATGCTCAGCCTAGTGGAACCAGTAGACACATTCCTGCAGGTGAGGATCAGGGGAGCTAGAGCATGTGTTGGGGGTTGGGAGAGTGCTCTGTGGTTTGAATGTCTCTAATACCTCTGACTGTGCTTTGGTGGCACAAGAGTATCCTGAGTCCTGGCCTGGGTAGGATTCACATGGAAACAGCACCCTATAGCCTCCTTCCTTCCAGAGCTCCCTAAGGAGCCAGAGCTTCAGTCTGCTGTAGAAGATTGTGGCAGCAGACTGTGGCTCCCAGTGCGCCACAGGTAGTGACAACAGCACTGTGCTAAATTGTCTAGAGCCTGTTGCCTGTGCTGAAAGCTCTCGCAGACTCATCCTTTGATTTCCCATCAGTGTTTGTGCCTTTCCCCAACATACAAGCTGGCCCTTCAAACCAGGAAAGTGATTGAGCAGAATGGTAAATTCTATCCAGAGCTAAAGCTTGCTTATGGTGTTCGAGGCAATAATTGTGAGTATCCAGGGGTGAGACCTCAGCAGAGGGTGGGAGAGGCTGCTTAGGTGTTTAAATTTTGAAGATGTAATGATAATGTTGTTCAGACTAGTGCTAGAACCCAACTGCATTATTATTTTCAGAAAATCTATTTAAAAATTGCTAATTTGTTAATAGATAGGGGTCATCAGTAGCTAGGGATCAGGTCCCTTTCTTTAAAGGTTAAATACTGTCTTGCTGTGGAACTGTAGGATAAGCACTGGACTGCTAACTGCAAGGTTCACCAGCTACTCCTTGGAAACCCTAAAACGTGTCACTGAGTTGGAAATGACTTGATGGCACATAAAACAATAGCTTTAGTAAAGAGAGAGAATGTACCGTTTACTTGGATTTATCAACATCTTTCTTCCATATGCTCTGTAGAATATAGTGTAGTTAGATGGGAGGGTTAAAATAGCCGGGGAGCAGATTCATTACCAACTTGTCTGGATGTAGAAATTCCTACAAGAAAAAGGCAGGCCACATGTAGGAAAATGATCAAAAGAGGTCCAGTTGGAAAGGAACTCCATAAAAGAAAGAAGTCAGACAGACAGGAAACAAGGATGGAGTTGTGGGAGAAATGTAAATTGAAACCACCATATACCTTCCAGGTGGGGAAAAACTATGAAGTGTGATAGTACCAACTTGTCAAGAAATTGTAGAAAAAGCGGCCCATTTGTGCATGTTGCTACAGTATACCCAGGTACCATTTGTTGCCTTAGGAGACAGTTTGGCAGAACTGGAGAGCGCGAGGGAGCCCTGTGACCCTGAATTTGGAGCTTCTTAGGGGCTCACCACTCCCTATCTGAGACAGTCAGTTTCATCTGTCTGTTCTGTGTGGTGATACAGGATAATGTGCTGACCATAGGTCAGTGGTTCAGATTCACCAGGCACTCCTTGGAAACCCTCTACAGGGTCCGTATGTGATTTCGGAAACCAGATTAACATACTATGTTGTATGAAAATCCCATGTTCTCCTTTGTACTTGGTTTTTTAGCCCATGAGTGGTTTTCTAACATTCTGCTTTGATCATTTGGGAAATACTGGCTTACTGAGTTATGATCATCTTCCCAGTGCTGACACTTTTCATTATACCAGATTTAAAAAATCATGTTAATATCACCACTAGTTTAACCAGAGAAGTGAGATCAAGCAGTGGTTCAGATCATGGTATCAGGTGCAAGTTTTCCAAAATTCAGATTCCCGAGTGAGATCTTGGCAAGTTAGTTTTCGTTGAAGACACAAGCCCACTTTGTTCATCTTCATGAAACTGTATCACATTCTAAGTTGAATGTCCATATTTTTTGTCAGTCAGCAGACAACAGTACTTTTCCTTAACTTGCATGCTTACATGTACAGCAGTAGCATTTCATGCAGACATGCTGAGGCTGGTTATATCTGTTTATGAAACTTCAAACTGAGAGGTGTGCCAAAGGGAAGGCACTTGAATCTGGTCACAGTCAGTATCTTACCTTCTCTAAGTGGTCTGAGAGTGTCAGTCATCACTATGTGTGGGAAAGGCTAAGGCTAATGTTCATTTAAAACTTTTCCAGTGAATAACTGAGAAATACTTATGTTGGTTTAAGTGCAGTCTGGTTGGTCCCAACTCTTAACAAGCATGTGTAGTGTTTTCAAGGTTGTAAATCTTTGCAGGAGTAGGAAGTCTCATCTTTCTCCTGAGGAACAGCTGGTAGATTTGAACTGTTGACCTTTGGGTTAGCAGCCCAACTTGTAACCCACTCCACGCTACCAGGGCACACATTCTTTGTGTGTGTGAGAGACAATGTACAAGTGCACTGGGGTTGAAAACTCACAGTTTATAGGTGGCAGTCACTGAGATGTGAGTGAGTGGATGATTCATATACTGCAGAAGGGAACGAACACTTACTGAGCATTCACTCTGGAGGCTTGAATATGACCACATTCAAGAAGATATAGGTGTCATCATGCTCATTGTAGACAAACCAAGGCTTAATGATAGTGCTTGTGTGTCTTGAAATCTGAAATTAACTTCTCCAACCAGCTCTGGTGTGACAGTAATAAGCACTGGACTATTAACCTAAAGGTTGGTGGTTGAAACCCACCAGCTATTCTTTCGAAACCCTGTCACTATGAGTCAGAACTGACTCTACAGCATGTAACCAACCAGCCAAACAGCTTTGGAAGGAAGAGCACACTTGTATCTGGTGTCTGGCTTTGTCTCCACAGTGGAAAGAGGTCACAAAATTGGCGAGCAGATTGTCATTGGCACTCCTGGGACCATGGTGGACTGGTGCTCCAAGCTCAAGTTCATCAAACCCAAGAAGATCAAGGTATTTGTTCTGGATGAGGCTGATGTGATGATAGCTACTCAGGGCCACCAAGATCAGAGCATCCGTATCCAGAGGTAGGCCGCACTGGAGCACGGGGGACATCCTCACCCTCCTGAACTGCGGCACCTTTTCCCTTTCTCTTCTTGCTCCTGTCGAGTTCTTCGCTTACTCGATTGAGTACTTCGTGTGACCATTTCCATGTCAGCACTGCTCATACTCCCCAGGCTGGGTTGACAGAGGATCTCTAGGGACTCTGCCACCAACCCTGTCATATCCCAGGTCTTCTGTCTCCTTCCTGGGGAGGCCATTCTTCTGTTTCTCTGAGTGGAAACACTCAGGGTCATACAAGACACCTGGGCCCTGCCTTGCAGGATGCTACCCAGGAACTGCCAGATGCTTCTCTTCTCGGCCACCTTCGAAGACTCCGTGTGGAAGTTTGCCCAGAAAGTGGTCCCAGACCCAAACATTATCAAACTGAAGCGCGAGGAGGAGACCTTGGACACCATCAAGCAATATTACGTCCTGTGCACTAACAGAGATGAGAAGTTCCAGGCCTTGTGTAACCTCTACGGGGCCATCACCATTGCCCAAGCCATGATCTTCTGCCACGTGAGTAGCAGCACTTGTTCCCTCTCTCCACGTCTCATCTCTGCTGTGGCTGCATGTGCTCTTCTCCCTTGATGGTCCTGGGGTCCTGTTTCTGGACTGTAAGATTAACTACTCCCCCTTTTTTGTTACAAAACTTGTACTTTTACAATTGTGACAGTCGCAATTAGTCATAACAATTGAATCATAAGAATCTTACCCCATCTCTTCTCACCAAACCCTTCTAGACAAGATTAAAACTATCCAGTAGGGACTGTCTTCCCCCGTTTACTCTTAAACTCTCTCTTGAAAACTTGTCAGTTACTTTTTGTGCCTTTTTATTGCCCCTCATTTTATGTAGCTGATGTCTAAGTTGCCTGTCCCAATACACTTCCCTTTGTTTTATTCTGGTTTTTGCCTTTCTTGATGTGGACATTTTAAAAAAGTCTAGGAGACAGTTTTTCACAATTTTTCTGATTTTCCCCCTCACTCCTGATTATACTCAGGATTAACGTCTCTGTAAGGTTACTGCCTGTCCGACATTACAACAGTAAGGCTTTCTCCATATTGGTGGTTATTAGTACGATCCCTCCATATATGGTAAAGATGGTGTGCGCCACATCATTCTATTTGTAAAGGTGCCAACAAGGAATTTGTTAGGTCATAAGGAACCCTGGTGTGGCACTGCAGAATAATGCATTAGATCCCAAGGTTGGTGGTTCAAACTCATCAACCATTCCTCAGAAACTCGGAAACCCTACATAGGGTTGCTATGAGTCAGAACTGACTCCATGATACTCAGTAAGACCTGTGTATATATTTGCATATATGTATTCTCTCACATTTCTACTCATTGGTGTGACT